TAGTTGAGAGGCAATGGTGCTACCCACTCAGCCACCAGGACACCCTGCCATTGTCACACCTGCCTCATTAAAGATTCTACACGTCAAAATGTCAAAAGTGAGGCTTACTTGAACAGAAACAGTTAGGGTTTACAGTGTGGCTCAAACAGAATTATTTCCAAAATTCTGGATGCCAAGGCAACAGTACTACAATCCATGGTAGGTTTTTATTTTAAATGAAAACCTTTCTTTATTGACATTTTGATGATGTCCAATCAACTAACTGACAAACTCGATAACAAGGGTTTACGTTCATTTTAATGCATACAAAAAAGCACAATGGTTTGAATCCAACCATCTACTGGAAATGCCTGCTTAGATTAATCAACTCATGAAGTTGCAAGAAAGAGTCGACAGGTGAGCTAAAATGAACACATCATGTCTACATCGTGACAGAAAATGCTTTGCGGGCATATTGGATTCCACGCTTGATGACAGGCAATCACTTTCACATTTAATTATAATACATGACAACTTTTATGAAACTGTTAAGTCCAAATAAAAACGTTCTTCGAATATTACTACATTCCTTGGGCTTGACGCTCAAATAGTCTTCAATCAATCCTGAAACTTTTGATGAAGTACTGGCCTCACGGAGAGCTCGAGATTACAGCGGAGATCGGCCCGGACAGACTGTTTTAACAGGCTGCCTGCGGTCGAGATGGATTGACCAATGGACAGGAAGGATGATTGATGACATCATTAGGCTGGCACCCTGTGTTCCTATGGCTGTCTGTGGTTGGCACTCTAATGACCAAGCACGTAGACACATCCACAGATAGATTGTCATTTAGTCTTGTACATATCCACGCTTCTAAAGCCTAAGGCCAGTTTTAAGCACCTGATTCTGATGGAATTCCTGTATTTGTCTTTCCTCCGGGACTCTTGGAGGAATGTAGACACCTTTCAGCAACACCACTGAACCATTTTTACTTTGCATCAGATGGAAACAGATGCAAACTCCATCTTCTTTCAGGGGTAAATTGTCATTCTGTATTTGCAATGCATCGGAAATACTCTGTCCCCGCTTTGAGTTTTTGTGGTCAAATTTTCGGCGATTGAGAAAGTAAGCGTATTCTAATACATGTAGAGATGAAGCTGTAAATTCTGAAGCCCGCTGGTTGAGTGGCCTCCTCAGCCTTTCGGACTGCACCTCCCTTGAGTTCACACAGCACAACACGAACTGGGAGTGGGCTGGCTCTGTGGCCCGACCATCTGTCCATTAATCAAGGTGCCACATGGACTCTGTGCCTCTCTGCCCATCTCGCTCATAAAGCATCGCTGCAGTGGGCAGAAGGACATTGCAAATTAATGACTGCTTTTGTAGTTTATTTTAATTCAGTTTTCTAATTCTTTATCGTGTCCATAAAGAAGATAACCACTCCACCAACCACGCCCATGTTGTTTGTCTGTTCCCGTCATTGTCACTTCACCATTGAGGAAAAAGTATAACATGTTTTCTGATCAATTATATTAACCACTTAGCTTGGTTTTTTCGTTTTGACAAAAGTGACCCTTTAATAAATCTGCTGGCTTGCGTCTTTTGTTGGCACATTGACTCTGAAAGTTATTCATGAGTTTCCACTTTAGCTGTTGGCTGGTCCAAATGTAAAGGTCACATCTGAGTGGTGCCCAGCTCTACAGAGGCCTTTTTCTCATCTCACATTTATCCAAAGCCAAGAAAGCAAAATAATGATAAACTACACTCTGCATTCAGATAAATTTAAGAACAAATGTAGAAACACAATAGTTCAAAACAAAAAGTTTCACATTGTGTGGTCATAATGTGATGAGTAATAATAAAATATAGCAACTTATTACCATCATTACTCGTGGACATGGAACAAAGCACAGATATCATGCATCAGGCGTGTCACTGAGGCTGTCAGTCTACTACCAGATAAATGAGCACAAATCTGTGGCATGCAGGGGACTGGTGGCAAAACTTGTGAAGGGTTTAGAATCAGAGTGGGATACGGTATTAAAAAAATACAATAATAAAACAAAAGGCTTTCCCTTTTGGTATCTTACGCCCTAAAGTTATGTCCAGGATTGTCTCAGGGGCCTCATAGTTTATTTTTTTCGGTCATTATTAAAATTTAGATATTGAACATGTATAATAAGTCTTTTTAGAAAATCTCTGGCTTTGTAGAATGTAAAATAAATAGTTCAGAATAAAATAATATCAGTAATATTGCACTAAAAAAGATAACAAAATAATTCCAGTTAAAGTAACTGGTAAAAAAAACATCTGTTTGTTTGTCGGACTACATCCCGCTGCATTATTCAAAATATATTTTTGACATTACCGGTTGTATACTGTACATAAAACCAACCAGTGGGGAAGAAGATTTCATTAAGGTCCATGAGACATTGTCGCTATGTGGCAGAGGGAAAAGCTATTCAAAAATATTCTTGCATTGTGTTTACTCTCAGAGCGATGCTGAATAATGGAGAATTGTAATTGGATGAAGGTGTGGTATTGTACAGTCTGAGACACACAGCACACATGTCCCAATGGACCACTGGCGCGTATGTGTTTATTATTTCCTGTTTTCTAATAGCTTGATTCTCGAATCTGTAGTTGGCGAATTGAAAATTTTGTAAAGTCCTCTGAGACAACTGCTGTTTATAAAATGACATTGAGTCCAGTTTCCAGTCCAGTTTTAACCATTGAATTATGTTCCTCTTTACATTCTCATCCGATGCATAATTTACCATATGTGACCATTCAGTATTTCTACCCCACAAAAACCTTGATATACATATACATACTGTATATATAGATCATAATATCATTTTGTCTGATAAGATTCATGTAATGCATAACACAGATGTGGGTCGTATACCTGTTCCCGAGTTTGATTTACCTCCATAGTTAGATATTAAAACAATGAATAGTATCTACAGTTACTTAGCAACTGAAAAGCATCATAGAGAAAACATATTTTTAGGTCAACAGAACTATAAATAACTGCTTTACAGAAAATGGAGAAATGCAAAAAAAAATGCCTGACTTCATGCAGAGTATATGTTGCAATGGTGACACTAGTAGCAATCTTAAAAAGCCAATCAGAGGTCAAAGACCTCATCTATAATTGAGGAGAAACAATTTAACAAGCCTGAGGTCTGTACCAGTCATGACTCCCTTAAATGCTAAACTATAGAGTTAGATGCTCCGGCCGTTGTAACATGAATGTTGTGATGAAAAGCCTAACGAAGGTCACATTATTCAGGGTCAGATGGACAGAAGGAGCAGCCGGACACTGTGGTTCTTTCACCCAAGGGGATAGGAGCGCAGGACCATAGGACAAATTGCATCTGGCCTGCTTAGACCTCCCTGGGGCGGTGGTCAAACCCCGCTGATTCCCAGGGCGCGCTATATACCATGCCCCCGACCTATGACTTATGTAGGAGGAAGCAGGAATCAGGTAAACTATTATTATCAACATGATTTGTCTTGGGCTATTCCCCTCAGGGAGCATCACAGAAAACTTCTGCCTTCGCCTTGTACCAACAACATATATGACAACAACCATACACAATGAATAGCAGTAATAGTGGTAAATACAATACTTTGTAGATTATCAAATGGCTATACACACCAAGTAAATTAATAGTGAATATGTTCATTTTAGCAGCACAACAATTTTAAATCAAATGGCCTTTTCATCACATTCTATAGCCATATGAATTTAACTGTGTCAGCTCAAAATCCATAATTATTATAAGCATACATTTTTGCCTCTTGGAGCCTATTCAAAGTAATTCCTTTATTCCTAAAATTGCTGCTTTATCGGTAAAGGCAAGGTGAAGGATTTCAACTCCCCATTCATTCATTCATGTGTATGCAAGCCTCAAATATTAGATTGCAAAGAATGTCTACCTCACACAAGTAGAAAAATGACCACAAGAGTTTATGAGTTTTAAGTTAAAGTATTAGTCTGAACCTCAGTCTGAAGCCAGTGAATGGAAACATGACTAACGACTTTGGCATTTAACATGACAGACGGCCTCTCCAATGCTGTCTCTCTCTGCTCCCACCCGTATGAGGTGTGTAAAAGTGTGTGCTATGAATCCTCAAAGCAGGACTGAAGGAGACTAGAACAAAGGATTTACATTCTGAAATGACTTGTTAAAAGTATAACTTATCAAAAACTGAATATACTTTGATTTGTGTTAAAAAAAATCCCTTATGGATTGTATTAACACCCAACACACATGGCAATCATTCATTTTCACACTTCCTTTTCATAAATTATTGTGTAGTGTCGGCTATTATAACTTCTACAGATATAGCATGTATCTTCAAAATGTGTTAGGAACATCTGGGTCAAATGGTAGAAGCAGCTGACTCTAATAATCCTTTTCTCAGTCATGAGGCAGACATGTGAGCAGCACTGATGTTAGGACAATATACATGGCTGTCCTTAATGTATGGTTTGCTTTTACTGGATCTTGTGACTGTGTCTTATGACTTCTTCAACTAAACTATAAGATCCTAGTCCTCTGTGTGTTAGGGGTCAGTCATGCCATCATCATTCTCGGAGCTGACCCAGGCTGAAAGCGCTAAGCCTGAATTGGACTTGATGTATTCTGATTATGACATTAAATTCTTTCTTTAATACATAACTCAGAGTGCATTCCTTCTCCAACACTATACTGGTTTGTCCGGGAAACCCCATCTTCTGCTGATGAGAAGATACAACAATTGCAACGGAATATTGAAATTGTACACCTGCCGCTTGTAAATTAGGTCCTTCTTTCACGCTGGACTATAATGTGTTGGGTTATGTATTTTTGCCAAAGTCAGACACTGAAGTGGGCTATTTCCACAGTAAACCGGGAGCTCATCAGCTTAAATTGAAAGCGGGGAGAGGCCAGTGCCCTTGCAAACGGGATGAGTTGGGTCTCAGTATATTCACAGCTTGAGCAGAGCAGCAGTGCAGTGTATTTCTTACCTTTGCACACCGGCCTATGGTCGCTCCAGGCGGCGAACACTTCGGCCACTCTCTGACAGCTGATGGTTTTACTGCCCTGAAGAACGTAGTCCTCTCCACAGGTAAAATGCACCTCACTCGAAATGCTAGAAGAAAGTCAAGAATTCATTAAATGGAGGTGCATGTTCAGGGTTATGTTTTGCTTTTATACACGACTTTTTATAGATTTTATTTTGAAGTTGTGTTGTAATATAATGCAGTGATAAGGCTGAGTGCTGTAGGTGCATCATCAAAACTACTTCCCGGTTCACGTTAACAGGATCAAGTCTGGTGCACCTAAAAAAATACATTTGTTTTTTGAATCATTCCTTGCAGAGACAGGACGGTCGAAGGACAGTGATGATCCAGGACATTTATGGATATTTATCAACATTTACGGACATCGGTCATTACACTCCCTATCAACCGATGGTGCATGAGGATAGAGTAATATAATCATGTACTAGTTGTTGCTATCTGAGATATCCATCCATCCATCCATCCATTTTCTACCCTTTAATCCATTTCTGGGTCAGGGGGGTGGCAGTCAGAGATGCCACCCAAGTCTCATAGCACCAGCCCCTCACTGACCCTCTGCAGGTGGTGAGTCCACAGGAGGACGGCTGCTCTCTGAGTGTGAGCATAGCCTTGATCTTTCAGTGGGGGCTTTGGGCAAAGTGGGGTTAAGTGTCTTGCCCAAGGACACTAACCTTGCCTGCAAGCTGAATTCTCGCGGTATTTGTGAGTTCACAAACACTCGAGAATACATCTTGTACCGCTCCCGCTTACACTTTTCGAGTCGAACCACTGGGTGTGCGAGCCAATCACGCGCCAGTCTGGGGGTTTAGGGCGGGATATCCGGGTTTGACGAAAGCAAGAAGTGCCGGGCCGAAGCAAAACAAACATGGCTACGCAGGAGGACGGACGCAAAGTCAGTTTTAGCAGAATCTCCAATTTCTTTTTTGAAAGATGAACAGCGAGAGGCGCTTTGTACATTTCTGGACGGCAACCTTGGTAGGCGGGCACACAGCGTCACTTCGCCCAATCAGCTTCAAGTATTCTGCTGCTTACCCCTCCTTTCCCCGAAAGGATTCTCCGGGAGAAATCCCAGATTGATATCGCGGAGAACGCGTTAGAGTTCTACACAATCATCAATCTGGCTCTTGCCAGGTTACAAGGACACAACGACAGCAGTCATCAGTGGGAGTCGGTGGAGAAGGTGCAGAGGTGGGAAATGAACCCACGACCTTCTGGGCTTAAGGCCAATGCTCTACCAACTGTTGACTGTCGCCTCTGAGATATATCGCTTCTATATCTCGCTTCCGTGTGGAGATAATGGAACAATATCTTAACTCTCTGGAGCGACAGTAGCTCAGTTGGTAGAGCATTGGCCTTAAGGCCAGAAGGTCGTGGGTTCAATTCCCACCTTCTCCACCGACTCCCACTGATGACTGCTGTCGTTGTGTCCTTGGGCAAGACACTTAACCCCACTTTGCCCAAAGCCCCCACTGAAATATCAAGGCTATGCTCACACTCAGAGAGCAGCCGTCCTCCTGTGGACTCACCACCTGCAGAGGGTCAGTGAGGGGCTGGTGCTATGAGACTTGGGTGGCATCTCTGACTGCCACCCCCCTGACCCAGAAATGGATTAAAGGGTAGAAAATGGATGGATATCTTAACTCTGAACATTGGAAAGCGCTTTGGGTGACCTTGGTCTGTAAAAATGCGCTATATGATTAAACATTACTTACTTACTACTCACTACGTGTTTATTAGCAGTTCCAGCTGTACTAATCTATTGTTGGAGAATCAACAACTTTGTGAAGTCCTATGAGACTAGTGCTGTTGGTAATACATTGAATTTAATTATTTGATGCAAACTGACTTCAGTGACTAATGGAGGCATGTTCATTTTTGCCTCTTGAAATGAACCGGAGTTGGTCCAGTTGAAGTGAACCAAACCAAGTGTGAACACGCCCGTTGAGCAAGTTATTCCAAAGTCATTCCAAATCAGTATTTCTCCAACCTGCAGCTCCAGACCGAAGCCCTCCCTAAAGGATTTACAACATTTACATATGCTACTGAATAATTAAAAATGTATTGACTTCATTAATATTGTGCATGGAAATATCAAGAAGCAAGTTTTTTTATGAACTAATGAAAGTTTGTGTTTCTGAAGCATCTGTTGTAGCTCTCCAGGCAAAAACAGTGATAACAGCTGCTCTAAATTGTTGCTGGTGCATCTTTAATGATTGTGGTTATGTGAAGGTACATCTATAATCAATCTATGATGTCGTATAAATGTTGTACCTGAAGTCGTTGCCATGCCTTTTCCCGTTCTCTGGCTCTCCGGGATCTGGACAGGAGTTTGAAGCTTGTCTTACACCCCCTTCGTTTACTACAGAGAAGACATGATAGGAATTAATCACAAAATATTGATTACGTTTGTTTATATTCTTTTTAAATAAACGCTACCAGTGCTGAACAGACATGCTTTTAGGACTAGTGCCGACGCTGAAAGAACTCAGTAAGAGAAACACATTTATGGAGGTTGTTTGTTAATTCTTGAAACAGCATAACAGAATTGGGATGAATGGCCAGATTGAGATTTGAGATTCAGTTTAGTCAAAGAGAGACACTGAAACGCACCCACCCACCCGTACACACACAGAGACATACACACACAGACACACACACAAACACATACACAGACAGACAGACACATAGACAGACACACAGACAGACACAGACACACAGGCTTAAGGGTGGACCTTTAATCCCCCTTCTATGGCAATGGAAATATGTGAGACATAATGCATCGGTTTTATTTAGCGCTTTTTTGGACACTCAAAGACGCTTCACATGTGTCATTATTCATTCACTCCATACACGGTGGTGATAAACTACTAATGTAGCCACAGCTGCCCTGGGGCACACTGACAGAAGCGAGGCAACCAGTATGTGCCATCGGCCCCTCTGACCACCACCAACCATTCATACACACACCAGACTCATTCTAGGCAATGGGGGTGAAGTGTCTTGCCTAAGGACACAACGGCAGTTTAGCACTTTACAGCCGCAGCCGCCCCACTGTGGCTGGTGTTCCCAGAGGTTAAGTGTCTTGCCAAGGACACAACGACAGTAGTCAGTGGGAGTCGATGGTGAAAGTCTTGAGCGGGGCTTGAACCCACGACTTTCGGCCAACGCTCTACCAACTGAGCTACTGCCGCCCATAAACATACATACATACACACAAACACATAAAGACAGACAGACAGACAGACAGACACAGACACACAGGCTTAAGGGTGGACCTTTAATCCCCCTTCTATGGCAATGGAAATATGTGAGACATACACACACAGACACACACAAACACATAAAGACACACACACAGACAGACAGACAGACAGACACAGACACACAAGCTTAAGGGTGGACCTTTAATCCTACCTTTATTATGTGAGACATACACACACAGACACACACACACAAACAAACACATAAAGACAGACAGACAGACACAGACACACAGGCTTAAGGGTGGACCTTTAATCCCCTTTCTATGGCAATGGAAATATGTGAGACATACACACACAAACACATAAAGACACACAGACACACAGACACACAGACAGACAGACAGACAGACAGACAGGCTTAAGGGTGGACCTTTAGTCCCCCTTCTATGGCAACGGAAATTATGTGTTGAAACCATTTAGTATTATGGCTGGTAAACCAATGGGTGGCAATAGTAGTATCCAGGAGCAGTAGCGGCCGATCTTGTGAAGTGAGGCTTAGTAGAAGAAACAACAAATATTTATTTTTGTCCCACGTATATTCTGCAACTTCAACTTCTCTTCTTAAGAAGTTCAAGAGCTTTGGATTCTATGTTTCTGTTTTTGTGGATGGAAAACAATCTTCAGTGTGTTTCTCGAGGCTTTTAGGGGTGAGAGAAAGGCAAAACAAAAACAACTTTTAAATTCAAAAGGTTTTTTTGGTTTGAAAAGAAGCGCTGCCTCATTCACAATTTAAATTTGCTCCAATTTTATTCCAGGAAAAGAAATAATCCAGTTTTATTGTGCGTTTTAATAGCTCAGGCCGACTGTACAATTATTTCTAGTAATCGAGTGAGTCCAATTCCTGACCTACTTAAATTCAGTTTGGGTCCACACACGTCAGGAGTGTGCTATTCTTTAATAAGCTCATAGGGAGAGGTAAGTTATTTGAATAATCCTTGAAGTTCCCAATCTTTCATTCACAACAACACACATGAAATCGGAGCACTTTTGGAAACCTTTTAAAGCGTTTTATTATGATATTTCTCGCTGTTGTGACACAAACATACTTACAGAAAAACTGCTTTACAAAATGCGGCTTTCATTTTCTGTCAGAGCATAAGCAAATATAATCTCTTTTATGGCTATTTACTCTATAAATAGTGTGGTTTCGCACTGCCCACACAGTCGGAGTGGGGAGTGGGAGCTGTAGTATCCGCTCTGTCGGGGAGAACAACCTCCAGGTGCTGCGGCCGGCGCGGTGGGTACAGCTTTGATATGTAACATTTATGGAAGAGCTACAGTATGAATTATGCATTGACCTGCACCTTATACACTGCTATCCGGTTTCTTCTGTATAATAATGAAAAAGTTATACAGTCAAGATTATGGAAACATTTCTCCTTTAAATGTAATATAACATGTTGATACATTTGTCTTTTACTTTTGTTTAAGATTATTTTGGCTTATTTTTTTTTGTTTTTGCATTGGTCATGGGTCAGGTAGGAGGGCGCACATGTCAGTATTAATGGAAAATGTTTTTTGTTTTTTTTAGCTTGTTATCCTGGATATTTGGATACATTTATTAAAACTGCATGAAGCCCACCCTAGACAACACAGAAGTGGCTTTTCTTTGGTTTAAGTTTGTTAAAGTTAAGTTAGGGACAAATCACCACTTCAGAAGACATAAAACACATTTATCTAATTGGCAATTTGCTGATTGGCATTTTTTGACAAGACCTTAAGTAGCAACAAGCCAATGCTCTTTTCTGTTTTCTGAAAGTTATGTGCGTTTAGAATAGGGTTTTCCTGGTTTGCACTTACAAAAAGGAAAAGGTTTAGTCTAAGTATTGTAAAATTCTTCAAATTGGAGGGGCCAAGTCAGATAATTGGAGGAGTTTCATATGGCACTTACACTAAGAAAGCATTTCTACAATAACACGTTTAGCACTGTAAACATGTGTGAATGTTAAATATTTGTACGCATGTTGTGAAAAACTCCAGGGAAGCTTTTGACATCTCTATGACAAGCAGATGGCAGATTCCCTTCAGAAAAGTTCCAAAGTGTTTCTGATTACTATAGGAGTGGCGGCCATTATTCCCTGTCGCTTCTCAACAGTGGGACTTACAGACGAGTACATGTTTGTTCCATCACCAGACCGGCAGGTGGCTGTGTGTGTATGAGCGTACGAGTGCTTGTTGGAGCACAAAGTTTGTTGCTTTGTTGAAGCGGCTAATTTGACCATCTGGACTATTAACACTATCACAGGGACTGCTAACAGTATCAGTGCGGAGCAACACAGGCAGACAGAAAACAAGATTAGACAAACACTCTCACACAAGAACATGACGACAGAAATGTTAACACGGGCTGGACAGTGTGCAACAACGACGAACTACAATCAATTCGAAATGCCCAATTAAATTCAGACCAAACCACACATTCAGTAGAGGACATTTAGTGTGTAACATGGAAGCATACACAGGCAAGCAAACAAGGCGCTGCAGGATCTCAAAAGATCAAAATGCACCATTACCAATCATGCTTGATACAACACCAAATTGTAATGTGGAACAGAAAGAGTTGGCAGAAAATATGTGGACAATGACATTTATGGACTTTGTCAGCGTTTATGGACATTGGTCATCTGCCACTTATGGACCAATGACTATGTGTTTTTTTTCATTGCATTTCTGTGTTTAAACTGTTTGATTCTCTGAACTGTGTTGGCTAAACTACAGTTTTGTAAAGTCCTCCGCGATAACTACTGCTGTGATTTAGGGCTATACACAAATACATTGAATATGTGCCATGGCTTGTTTCAAATATAGTATTAAACAAAGCAGTCACTATTTTAGTGTGTATTGATTCACTTTAATACTCTGTGACTATGTGTGTTCATTTGCAGTGGTGTAAAAAATTTCCTGGTGAAGTGTCCCAAATGTGAGTTTTAGCTGTGCCCTTAATTTCCATTCCTCCAGTTTCCTTTCCGGGTCAAACGTGTGAGCTATATGGGGGAATATATGTAAATAAGGAAGATTCAGGTTAGGTACAGTTTCTTAACAAAGCAATGAGTTTAAAAAGGCAGATTCTGTAAATAATAATTAAAAAGTGGTACTAGTCTGGGTTTGTCTATTTTTCTGTTTTGCAAGAGTCCCTTGAGTTCAATTAAATCAAATGAATGAATGAATCCGAAAAGACAAGTATTCACGGTCATACAACATCACAACAGAGAAACTGCACACCCCAAATAGGCAAGCTCTAAATCTACCGCAGGTTATGCTGATACGAACAAGCAGTGATAGAATTATAGCAATGCAAGCACTGACTCAGCATGCAGAAGTAAAAATACATACAAAAAAACAAGGCATCAAGCAATCTCTTACAAAGGCTGACCATTACATTTGAAAAGTAAATTTAAACATTCATTGTTGATATTGACCAGATTTAATGATTGTACTATGTGCAGCCTTTTTAAGAGTTACAAGCAAAATACAAACATGAAAAAGAAGAGGCCCAAGCGATACCAAGCCATCACATGTTAGTTCATAGAGTGACATTGAGATGTGAACTCACATATTGAAAACTTGTTGCTGGAGTCTTTGCCAGGGAATAACTTAACGCCCCGCGATTTAAAATCTACAGATCGCTTCACTGCGAAAGGAGAACACAAAAGAGAGGAGGAGAAAAAAATTAGGTTGAGTGAAGGAAAAACTTGGCAAAACAATGGTAAATTCTTCTCTCTCGCAATAATGGGAGAAAGAAGAGTCAAAGCAACAGTTAACCAGCAAAGAAAAGGTCAAAATGTTGGAAATGAAAATTTGGCAATAAAAGGTCATTTATAATGTCAACAATGTGAAAATAGAAGAGTAACCTCTTTATTTATCTCTTGTAAAGCTATTCACAACTGTAGACACCTCACTTGGGCAAGTGAAAACCATACCAATCAATTTCATTTTCAATTAGCATTGTTACTTTACTCCATTCTTGGTAGATACAGTTGCCAATCTGCATTAATTACCTCAAGTGGAAAGCCACGCCCACTTCCTAACAGCTGAGAGGAACAACTCATCTACGGACAAGGTCCGATGGCTGATATCGAGCCAGTCCGATCTCAACGTTCACAAGGAAAACAAAAAGCTAACCAAGAAGGGCCTTTTCTCGGAGTGAGGACTGAGACCAAAAGCCAATGAAATAACCGATTTTATCATCAACAAATGAACCAAAACGCATGAATAACAAGACAATATTATCTGCACAGCAGTGGCCCTAACCTTGAGATGTCTTGAAATTTGGATTTCAACAAATGAAGAGCACAGAGGTGCATTCTGCCTAACAATGTGAGGAAAACGCAACTTACAATTTGGACCACAACTTGTTTTCTATTACACTAAATATCACAAACGTCTGCTGTTTGCTGATTGGTTAATTTCTGTACCCATTAGGCCCACTCGTGTCAAATGTTGTCTTGGTTGTACCTCTTCCTCTGTCAAGAATATACAGGTGGGAGTTCTGTGGCTTGTCAAGATAAATGTGCTTCTATTCTAGAGCTGAGAGGTTCTTTCTAAGATCAGACAACAACAAGAATAATTTGGCGAAGTTTCAAGCACAAAGTCAGCTCTGAGCATTTTATTTGTATTCAGACAACATTGTAATATTGTATACAAGTAATACCCCAACAGCCTAGCAGAAGAATCAGCCTCATTTATTTTCAGCAAACGTCCAAAGCCCCGACTGCACATTCCATTTCTTGACAACACAGGCCATTACAGAAAGGAAGTTATGACCTTAATCAAAGTGCAGTAAGACAGAAACAAAAGCATAATTTTAATTATTTCAATGGGAGAAGAAAAATAATTGACATTCATTATCATTATTGATATTGTAGCATGGACGTAGTGTGTATGTACAGATGTAGAGGGTGAAAACCGTGCTCCGTCTATGTGTCTGGCTATGTCGCTGTTAGAATTCCCCAGGGGTGCATGTAATTACGGTTCCACCACAAAATGAAAAATATGTACACATAGAAAAACCATACATAACACAAGAAATATGTGACCTTTAGCAGATATGATAAGCGACTTGTTGGTGATGTGTGGCACAACCAATCTCAGATTCTTCTTGTATTCATTTGTGTATTCACATATGTATTAATATGTGGCTAGTGTTTATGGAAAACCAAAACAAGGATTTGCACAGAAACCACTGACACAAATTGAATTCAATGTTTGAATGATCCATGATGCTGGTGGGATATGTGATCTCTGAGTGCACATTTGAGATATATATTTTATACACACATTGTATAACGTCTAAGTGAGTAATTAAGAATCACATGTTTTGCTGAAGTCAAACTTGACGTAGCTGCAGACACAGCCACAATACAGTATGTACCTTTGTCTGTTTCGTGTCGTGATGATGGGACCCCTGAACCCTTTTACAGGCTCTTGGGAGCCCTGAATTTGTGGACTCCACCCGCCTTCCCGCCTGGCCTTACTGCCTCAATCCTCGTTCTACAGCCTGAGTCCTGGTTCTATAGCCCAAAAAAATATGGTCCTGAATATGGTCGAGGTTTCTCATATTTCACCTCACTGTTCTTTGCTGGGCGACAGTAGCTCAGTTGGTAGAGCACTGGCCTTCAGACCTGAAGGTCGAGGGTTCAATTCCCACCTCCACACCTTCTCCACCGACTCCCACTGATGACTGCTGTCGTTGTGTCCTTGGGCAAGACACTTAACCCCGCTGAAAGATCAAGGCTATGCTCACACTTAGAGAGCAGCCGTCCTCCTGTGGACTCACCACCTGCAGAGGGTCAGTGAGGGGCTGGTGCTATGAGACTTGGGTGGCATCTCTGATTGCCACCCCCCTGACCCAGAAATGGATTAAAGGGTAGAAAATGGATGGATGGATGGATGTTCTTTGCTGATGCAAGAGAGTCTAAGTCCAGGACATTTATGGACATTTATGGACATTTATTGGTCATCAGCCCCCAATGAACCAATGGATTCTATGTGTTCGTTAGTATTAGGGTTAGTATTCCTGTGTCTGAGCTGTTCAATTATCTGAGATGTTGTTGGCGAATCGACATCAAATGAATTGAATATTATTGAATACAGTACAGTACATGCAGAAAGCTTCCATTGCACCTTGTACACACATATACAAATATATGCTTTGGTTATAGTTAAACTATCAGTGTTGTCAGTGTTGCTGAAAAAACATTACATGCAGACTGCTCCGTCAAATTACCTTATTAGCTACATTCGAGTAAACGCCTTCAGCTATGGCTCGGGAAGTCTTACTTATTTCAAATTAATACCATGCCTCATTATGGCGAGTCTAAACATGATACAAACTGTATAGTTTACCCATAGCAGTAATGAAAACATTGAATGGGTGGGTAATTTGTATGCACTATACAACCAAAGCATAATCAGAATATGACTCCATATTTTATCCCTTTGGCCAGTCAGAATACATGAAAGTATTAGTGTCATACATAATTAATACATAAACACAAATATATCTGGTCTTGAATAACAGAGTGCACTGACAAATGATCTCAACAAATTATGGTATGATGCATAGGCTGACAGAAAGTCTTTTGTGATGATGTGAATGGTGACAAATCACATCGAGCTAATGGACCTCAATTATTCCACATTATATCAAGCCTACATACATGAGGGGCATTGTTTTGTACCAGCACTCATTCACTAACATGAAAGGACCATCAATCCATAGCCGAGGGATCATTTACATCTACAGACAATCATAACATGCTTGTATATTTTATGCACAAAGTAACTGTAGTCATAGGTCCAGGCCTTGAGAACTATGTTGTACCAATGTTGGGTTACGCCATATCATTTCAAAGACTAATGGCCAACACAATAAGTCATATTTCAAATTCAAACAGATTCTTTGAGTGTTATTACATTTACATTTTGGAGCGGATAATGCAAACAGCAGCAGTTAGCCACGCCCATGCTTACTCCTGCAACTTCCTGATTGGACAAAATACATTAAAAGCCTCATCTTAATCAGTGGTGGTTATGCCATGAGGCGAGAGTATTTTTGATATATTCATTCAATTCTCACTTTATACCATAATTTGGGTTTGTATGGTCAACATATGTATTGTTTATTAAAATGAAATACAATTGAATACTGTTGTCACGTTTAGGGTCATTCTGTTGACTGAAATGCAGTCATGTTTGTTCTTGCATGGATAATTATGTATGTGTACCTGTCTAAAATCTACAGATGGAAAATAGTTATATTCTATAGCTGAGGTGAATGTGAAACGTGTAGAAAAACATATCAGTAATGATTGAATGCAGGCTAATTATCTATAACTATTAATTCCTTCCTATCTATTAAATCCTCTATCAATTCCTCGTTTCTTCAGTAAAAACATAGATGAGATGACCATAAAAAAGTTGTGGATTTTTGAGAGCTTTCTCACAAAAATCTAAAAATGTAGCTTTCTGTTTCATCTATATATTTTAAAATGTATCTCACACATTCATCACTCTACTGG